CTCACTACGTCTGCAACAGTTACAGTCGGCGGCGCGCCTGGGGGGAAATGAGAAGGGGCGGGCCTTCTCAGAAGGCTGGGAAGTCCCCCGGCCTTCTGAGAAGGTTTCCGAGCTGTCCCCGAAGACACAAGATACTTCTCGGAAGGCGCGACTCCTTCGGCCGCCGATACATTTTCAAATCGACGAAGCGCAGGCCCAGGCCCATGAAGCGCTGGCCCTTCAAGAGGTTTTCCCGTTTTGACACGAGGAGCGGGCTGCGGACGGGACGGTGTACCGAAGCGTCGTTCGTCAATATTGGATTCGCCGTGGGCCTCCTCTTGCTCATGCTCCCTCCTCATTCCTCCCTCCTCCCTCCTCCCTCGCCCCTCCTCCCTCATCCCTCCTCCCTCCTCCATCCCTGTTCCCTCCCTCCCTGCTCCCTTCTCCCTCCTCCTTCGTCCGTCCTCATTCGTCCTTCCTCCCTCCTCTCCCTCCGACTCCCCCACCTGCCTCCCTCCCTCACTCCTCTCTTCATCCCCCTCCCTCGTTACCCCTCGCTGCCGCCCCGACTTTCCACGTGGAGCCACGTAAACCCATCCACAACCACAAAAAAAGTGTTTGGCCCTCCTACTCACCCCCCGTCAATCCCTGCTATCCCCCTCCTCCTCCTCCTCTCCTCCCTCTCCTCCTACTCTCCTCTCCTGCATCCTCCGCTTCCGCCTCCGCCTCCGCCTCCGCTCCTAATCCTCCTTCATACTCATCCTCCTCCTCCTCCTCTCATCCTCCTCCTCCTCCTCCTGCTGCGCATCCTCCTCCTCCTCCTCCTCCTCTTCCTCAGCCTCCTCCTCCTCCTCCTCCTCTCCTCCTCCTCCTCCTCCTCCTCCTCCTCCTCCTCTCCTCCTCATCCTCCTCATCCTCCTCCTCCTCCTCCTCCTCCTCCTCCTCCTCCCCGCCTCCTCCCCTCCTCTCCTCCCTCCTCCTCCTCCTCCTCACTCTCTCCTTCCTCGCCTCCATCTCGCCCTCCTCCTCCTCCTCCTCTTCCTCCTCCGCAGCAGCAGAAGAGCAGCAGCATTCATCCTCACACAATAGAAGCAGCATCATCACCACCACACCACCACCACCCCACCATTCATCCTCATCACCATCAGCATCACCATCACCAATCACCATCACCATTCACCATCACCATCATCATCCGCATCATCATAATTCAGCATCAGCATCACATCAGCATCATCATCATCATCATCTCTCATCAAATCCATAATTTCATCATTCATCATCATCATCATCATCACATAACCCATCCAATCCCCACACATCACATACCATCACCATTCTCATATTTCATCATCATCGTATCGTCATCATCATCATCATAAGCATCATCATCATCATCATCAGCATCAGCATCATCATCATCATCCTCATCCTCATCATCATCATCATCATCATCATCATCATCATCATCATCATCATCATCATCATCATCATCAATCATCAATCAATCCGCCGGTCCCTTGGGGATCATCGGCGTGTGAGATGCCCCCCCCTCCCCAAACCCCTCCCCCGGGAGCCCGGTCCGGTCGATTTGGAGGGGGGGGGGGGTCCGGCGCGAGCGGGGGGGGTCCGGGACGAGCGACTCACGGGGCTTTTCCGGGCCCAAGAGGGCCTCAAGACGGGCCAAGAAGCCCCCAAGAGGCCTCCAAGACGGCCCACGAAGGCTCCGAGACGCCAAACGACCGCTCCAAGACGCCCACGATGGCCCCAAGACGGGCCAAGAGGTCTCCAAGACGGCCTCCGAGGTCCCAAACAAGCCTCCCAAGAGGGCCCAAAGAGTCTAACATTGTTGATTTTCCCGAGTGTTTTTCGACGTTTCTTGCTTTCCCGCCTTTCCGGCTTCCCGACGCTCCAAGACGGCCAAAGAGGCCCCAAAGATAGCCCCAAGATGGCCCAAGAGGCCCCCAAGACAGCCTCCAGACGGCCCAAGACGGCCCCAAGACGGCCCAAGAGGTCCCCAAGACGGCCCAAGAGGGCCGATTTGGAGGGGGGGAGGGGGCCGGGACGGGCGCAGCACGGCCGGGACGAGCGGTTCCAGGGCTTTTCCGGGCCCAAGAGGGCCTCAAGACGGGCCAAGAAGCCCCCAAGAGGCCTCCAAGACGGCCCACGAAGGCTCCGAGACGCCAAACGACCGCTCCAAGACGCCCACGATGGCCCCAAGACGGGCCAAGAGGTCTCCAAGACGGCCCCCGAGGTCCCAAACAAGCCTCCCAAGAGGGCCCAAAGAGTCTAAAATTGTTGATTTTCCAGAGTGTTTTTCGACGTTTTTTGCTTCTCCGCCTTTCCGGCTTTCCGACGCTCCAAGACGGGCAAAAAGGCTCCAAAGATAGCCCCAAAATGGCCCAAGAGGCCCCCAAGACGGCCTCCAGACGGCCCAAGACGGCCCCAAGACGGCCCAAGAGGTCCCCAAGACGGCCCAAGAGGGCCGACTTGGAGGGGGGGAGGGAGCCGGGACGAGCGCAGCACGGCCGGGACGAGCGGTTCCAGAGCTTTTCCGGGTCGAAGAGGGCCTCAAGACGGGCCAAGAAGCACCCAAGAGGCCTCCAAGACGGCCCACGAAGGCTTCGAGACGCCAAACGACCCCTCCAAGACGCCCAAGATGGCCCCAAGACGGGCCAAGAGGTCTCCAAGACGGCCCCCGAGGTCCCAAACAAGCCTCCCAAGAGCGCCCCAAGAGTCTACAATTGTTGATTTTCCATAGTGTTTTCCGATGCTTTTTGTTTTTCCGCCTTTCCGGCTTCCCGACGCTCCAAGACGGGCGACGAGGCCCCAAAGATAGCCCCAAGATGGCCCAAGAGGCTCCCAAGACGGCCTCCAGACGGCCCAGGACGGCCCCAAAACGGCCCAAGAGGTCCCCAAGACGGCCCAAGAGGGCCGATTTGGAGGGGAGCGGGAGGGCCCGGGACGAGCGCAGCACGGCCGGGACGAGCGGTTCACGAGGCTTTTCCGAGCCCAAGAGGGCCTCAAGACGGGCCACGAAGCCCCCAAGAGGCCTCCGCCGCTCGAGCCGCACACGCAGGCGGCCAATCCCAGAGAGGAATGAGAAGCTCAATGTCATTTCCTATTCCTCCGCCTCCTCCTCGTCCCCCCTTCTCCTCCCCTTCCTCCTCTTCCTCCTTCTCCTGCTCCGTCTCCTTCGCCCCGCTCTTACGCTCGCAGCGTCACTCGTCCTCCTCCTCCTCCTCATCCTCCTCCTCCCACTCCTCCGAATACCCCAGCATGCCCAATAACGGATCAGCCCCAGTTTCGAAATCCACAACTTACGTCCAGCATCCGCCGACCCCGCAGAAATCGAGGTGCCGTGGCGCTTCCATCTAGTGAACATGCCTCCAATTTGGCACACCCCGCACGCGGCAACTTGAATGAAAGGCCCCAAAACCCGAGTATACGCGCGGTTCCCCGCGAACATTGGGCACGTCCCTCATAGATTTCGTGGCTCCACGGCGCGCTCCAACCATAGCCCCAGTACCCGCGGTCCCGTAAACTTCCAACCCCAAGCGCACACACACGTCGATCGTGTCGTGGCTCCAGAATACGTCCACCGTGGGGCCCAGTGGGAAGATTCGCATGCAAGTATACCCCATGCCGGCACACCCTTTGCACGCGCCGTGGCCTCGCACATGGCCAAGTTGACCCATAATGACTCCTGGACAGTCCCCCAAAAAAAACTCCCGACCGCTACCGAAACGGCTCGAAGACATTCCCGAGCCCAACCTGGCTCCATTATGCCTCTCAGATGGCCCCAGATGAGACCACGACCGCCCGCGGTGTCGCCGTCCGCTCGGACACCCCCGCGGAACTGCCCGAGACCCTCTGGCAGTGGCGGCGAACAGACACCAAACAAATATCACTCGCCTTTTCACCCCTTCGCAGCTTCTACTGCCCCCCGATTGGCATAAACAAGGGGTCGGCGGTGTGGCGTAAGCCTAAGAATAAGAAGAAGAATAATAATAAGAATACTAAGAAGAAGAAGAAGAAGAAGAGGAGGAAGAGGAGGAGGAGGAGAGGGAGGAGGGAGGAGGGAGGAGGGAGAGGGAGGAGGGAGGAGGGAGGAGGAGGGGGGAGGGGGGAGGGGGGGAGGGGGAAGCCTAGGTGCGCTCGCGTCATATGTGACATCCTACACCTCCCTCCCATCCTTTACCATGGCGTAGATCCCCTCTCTACTCGCACAGTCGGATGTCGAGCAGGGCAATGATCCCGAAATGGTACGCGATGCATTGTAGAGCACGGCATGGCATGGCGTAGAAGAGCACCGCAAAGCGTAGTATCAACCTATCAACCTAGCATTGCATTGCATGCCGTGGCATGGCACTGGAAATGACGGCAGCGCTGCAGCGGGAGCACGAGTCGGAACGAGCGGAAGCGCGGAAATGATGCCAACGCTGCAGCGGGAGCACGATTCGGAACGAGCGGAAGCACGGAATTGAGGTCAGCGCTGCAGCGGGAGCACGATTCGGAACGAGCGGGGCTCGAAAATGAGGCCGGCGCCTCAGCGAGAGCAGCATTTTGGACACAAATGCAGGCGAAAACCCAACTCCGGGGAATCCTGTGTGTAAAAAACAGTGCGCGGGGGGGCTAATACTTTCAAACCGTCATCAGGGGAAGAGGGAGAGTAGTATTCATATTGAGTAATTGTGGAGGGGGGAGGGAGGAGGGAGGAGGGAGGAGGGAGGAGGGAGGAGGGAGGAGGGAGGAGGGAGGAGGGAGGAGGAGGAGGCAGGAGGCAGGAGGACAGGACAGGCAGGAGGCAGGAGGCAGGATGGCAGGAGGCAGGAGGAGGAGGCAGGAGGCAGGAGGCAGGAGGCAGGAGGGAGGAGGGAGGAGGGAGGAGGGAGGAGGGAAGAGGGAGGAGGGAGGAGGAGGAGGAGGAGGAGGGAGGAGGAGGAGGAGGAGGAGGAGGAGGAGGAAGGAGGAAGGAGGAGGAGGAGGTTGTTATGGGGGCTGCCGGGCTGCCCCTGAAGGCGGCGGTGCTGGAGCGGCACCCGTCCTGGTCGCAGGGGCTCCGCGACAGCGCCGCGGGGACCGGGCCGCCCATGGTCTTCGCCGACTTCTTGCAGGTCTCGAAGAAGAAGAAGAAGAATAATAAGAAGCGGCGTTAGCATACCCAGAGATCCGCGCGCCGCGAAAAGCATCACGACGGGACGTTGTCGTCATTTTCGGCCTCCAGAGGCCCTTACCGGGCCTTGGGAGCGTCAGAAAATTAGTCTGGATGAAAAACCAGTGCGGGGGAAGGGGTCCAGTCCTCTGGGGGCCGACGTTGCGAAAACATCGCGACGGATGTCAGGGTAAGCTTGGTGCTCTCCGCGCGGACTTCTCGGACCCGCGCTGGCCCCCCCCCTCCGGCGGCGCCTCTGGCGCAGATCCGAGAAATCCGCGCGGAGCGCCAAAAGTTCATGTTTATGTTCAATCCGGCCTGTCCCTCTACAGGGGAAATAGTCAAAAAGAGTCAACACATAATACGGGGATGACTTGTTCAGCATTTTTTGGCCTGTGTTTGAACATTGTTGGGTTTTTTTATGTGCGTCCAAACTCCGCCTGTAGGGGGACAGGCCCGACCTGATGTCTGTGTCTGTGTGTGTGTCGTTTTTCCTTCTTTGAAGATCGCCATGCGGGTGAACGGCGTCCCGCGGGAGAGGAACTTCCTCTCCCGCCTGGCGGTCTGCGTGCTCGACTCCGTGTGCGGGTATGCCGAGGCCTACGTGGGCCCCGGTTACGGCGGGGGAGCACGCAACCACACGAGCCCGCGTGCCCTCGGAGGTCCGCGCGGACGCCCTCCCTGGCGGGGGACCCCCCTTGCAGGGCCCGTTTCGATCGCTCGAGCCCGCTCGGTGCATCGATTCCGACCGGCCCGGTCCGATTCGAGGCCGAGCTTCCGAGGCTCCGGTGCGGCACGATGTCCACGATGACCGCCGGCATGGCGCTCCGAATCGATTTTTCGGCTCCGCGCCGATGCGGCCCGAGCCCGCTCCGATGCGCGGCCCGATTCGATTCGATGCCCCGATTCGATGCTGACTGATCCTGCCATTAAGTCGGGCCTGCCCCTCTACAGGGGGAGTATTCAAGAATAGTAGAAAAGTAGTCCGGGGATTATTTTTGGAGTACGTTTTGACTTTGATGTCTTCGCTATTCTCTACTTTTCGTCCAAAATCTGCCTGCAGCTTTGTTGGTGTTAATACAATATTTTGAAGTTCGTAAGAAAATCAGTCTAGAATACACGGTTCACATCATTCATTTTGGCTCCGAGTCCTATTTCATGAGACTTCTTTATATCTTACCCTATTTCAGCAGAGGTTTCTTTGTTTAGCTAATCAGGGGGAACACGCCCGACCTAATCCTGGGACTCCCCGTGCCCTCCCCCACTCGGGTCGGGCGAAAGGGGGGGTTTGGGAAAGGGGGGGGTACGAAATCTGCTGCATGTAGCTGGTTTCGGCCCCGCCGCCGGGCCTATTTCATGAGACTTCTTTATATCTTACCCTATTTCAGCAGAGGTTTCTTTGTTTAGCTAATCAGGGGGAACACGCCCGACCTAATCCTGGGACTCCCCGTGCCCTCCCCCACTCGGGTCGGGCGAAAGGGGGGGTTTGGGAAAGGGGGGGGTACGAAATCTGCTGCATGTAGCTGGTTTCGGCCCCGCCGCCGGGCCCATTCCTCGATACACGGGCGCCTTCCGGCGCCGGGCGACGCTGGGAAAATCAGCTACGCGAGCTGATTCTCACACCCCCCCTTGGCTATCCCCTACTTCACGAATCATCGAATACATACCTCTACTCCTCATCCCTCCTCCTCCTCCTCCTCATCCTCCGAATCCTCCTCCTCCTCATCTTCCTCCTCCTCCTCCTCCTCCTCCTCCTTCTCCTCCTCCTCCTCCTCCTCCTCCTCCTCCTCCTCCTCCTCCGCGCGGGGAGCGCGCACCGGGGGGCGGCCCCGGGCCGACCCGGGAGGCCCGGGCGGGCCTCCGGCAGGGTGCGCTCGCGTGTGGTGTTGCGTGCCTCGAGGCAGCCTGGCGAGCCGGGAGGCCGAGGATCCGGAGGGGGAGCACGCACAGGCACCGTCCCAGAGGTCCAACGTATCGAACAAGTCAAGACGGAAGGTTTTCGTGTGTTTCGGCCTCGAGGGGCCCGCGCCGGGCCCTGGGACCGTCAAAACACGACTCAGGATGAGAAACCGGTCCTGGGGAATGGGTCGAGGCTTCCGGGGACCCCGTATTGAAAAAATCACGACGTCGGATCTCTGGGGTTAATCGTCGGTCCCCAGGAACGGATGGGAAAATCTGGGAAGTGGGGGGGAAGACGAAAGCCCCAAAAATACAGTATAATAAGGGGGATCCTAGGAGTTGTGACTGTCTACTTGCGTGTCCCTGGGCGCCCTTTAGAGGAGAGGAACTTCATTCTGCTGCTGCACCTGCCGGGCCACTACTGCTGCCTGGTGCGGGACGACGGCGAGGGCTCCAAGCTTGGCATGACGTACCGCGAGTTCAAGGAGAGGTTAGTTGCGAGGGATGTCCTGCTGGTCGAGACGATGGCGTGAATCCAGGGTCTACTACGGAAATGAACAATGACGTAGACATAATAACTCTGAGGTCTGCGCGGATTTCTCGGATCTGCGCTGGACCCCCCTGGCGGCGCCTCCGGCGCCGCCCTTGGCGCGCTCCGCGCGCCAGGGAAGGGGGTCAAGCGCCTCCGAGCTTCTATGGTTCTGTCATTGTTGGTTCCCCTGTCTCACCACCCACCAAGCCACCCCGACCCAACCCGAAGGCTTCGACTCGCCCTCCACTTCCAGTTGGGGGGGGGGGGCGGGAAACATTGCAACAAATACACATGAAACCGGATCGGGGCACATTGCAAGAACACACGGATCGTGGAGCACATTGTAAAGTCCCAGCCCGAAATCCGGGCCAAATTCGGGTCTTCGGGTTGGGGTTGGGGTGGTCTGGTAGGCGGTGACTATCTACGGCTGCTTGCTGCAGGGCCCGGGCGGCAAGAGCAGCGCTCTGTGCCTGCGGCCCTGTGTGTAGCAGGAGGGAAGAAAATACGGACACGATCCCTCGTCGTCTCCCAGGAGAGTATGGGAAAACATCTGGGAAGCGGGGGCAGACGAAGATCCAGAGCGTATGGAAAACCATGTGGGAATTCCTGGGATTCGTGTGTGTGTGTGTGTGTGTGTGTGCGTGTGTGTGTGTTTGTCTGTGTGTCCCAGGGCCCCTTCGGTGTACCTCTGGCCGCTGGCCGCAGCTCGATCACAGCCGGCGGAATGCGGCGGTCCGCAGGACGTCGGCAGGCGGGCGGGCCAGGGCGGGCTTCCCAGGGGTCTGCGCTCGAGATGCTGAGCTATATCCCGTTCTACACCTGGCCAGGGCAGGCGACGAAACGGCCTCCTGCCCTCACCAGCAAGCTGAATAATTCAGACCGGTTTCGTCAGTTCTGCCGGTAGGTGGGGACGGTAGTGCGCCACGAGATACAAGATCCATGGCGCGTTCTCACCGCTGATGTCGTGAGCGCAGTGCAGTTACAGATTTGTTCATAGTTTCGGCCATGCAATACGCTTACAGAATCGGTCATAGGTCTGAAGCCCATCCTGCGGGAGGCCACCCATTCCAGTGGCCTATCGCGATTTTGCAAAGAGACCGTGCTTCCCTCCCGTCCCTCCTGGTGCGGTCTGGCGATCGGTCTTCTTTCTCAGAGGGCCAGAGAGCAACACCAACACTTAAGTCGGGCATGTCCCTCTACAGGAGGAACATGCAAACATATGTTTAAAGATAGTCTGGGGACGATTCTTGATGAGCATCTTTTGATTATTTTCGAGTGTGTTTGGACTGTTTTTGATTTCTCGTCGAAAATCTGCCTGTAGTGGGACGTGCCCGACTGAAACCAACACCCCTGTTTGGACGCCCCGGCGTCCAAACGCCCCGGTCGTTCTCTCGCTGGGGCGTCCTCCTTGGAAGCCCCAGCGAGAGACGGTCTCTCTCTCTCTCCTGGGGCGTTCCTCCTGGGGCGTTTTCTCCTGGGGCGTCCTCCAGGACGGTCGCTCTCTCCAGGCACGGACGGTGCCCAGCCCCCTCCCCGCGCTGTCTTCTTCCGCGTCCGGGGGGGTCGCGCCAGAGGGCCGCGCCCCATGCGCCGCCCGGGGCCGAGGGGCTGGGGTCAAGCACTGGCGGAGGCACCGGAGATCTTCGCCGGGGCTCAAGAGACGGGGGTCAATGCAAACGGGGGTCAGCCAGGGCACCGGATCCTGCAGGATCCTGCGAAGCCTACCTCTGGCTGACCCGGGTTAGCGAGCCGCTCGTGGCCGCGAGGCGGCCGCGCATTTTGGCTGGCCCGGGTTGGCGAAGACCTGCGTTGCAGTTTTTGTTTTTCTTGCATTGCAGTTTTGTTGGTTTCCTGCTGACCCAGGTCTGGATTGACCCGGGTCAGAAGATCCCCGACTTCGAAGGTGGGGCCCTGAGTCCGAGGCGGGAATTTATACATGGCCACCGCCTGGAGGATCAAGTTTCGGGGACCTCGGCAGGCGGTGGATGTGGACATACTCGGGCCCCCAGGGGCCAGCATATATCCATATATGCACCGCCCGTCGGGGCACCAGGACGTCGGTTCCCAGGCGGTGGATATGGATACATCCCCGCCTCGCACTGAGGGTTGGGGGCTGGGGTCTTCCATCCAGTTCGGATTACGCCGCGCCTTCACGCCGCCCGTCGGGGCACCAGGACGTCGGTTCCCAGGCGGTGGATATGGATAAATCCCCGCCTCGCACTGAGGGTTGGGGGCTGGGGTCTTCCATCCAGTTCGGATTACGCCGCGCCTTCACGACACGACGGCGGGAGACAGGCTGCCGGCCGAGGGTGCACGTCCAGAGCAGGGCACAAGAAGCAATAACAAACACAAAAACGGCTCGAGGGCCATAAACGTAGCGTTTATCGACCCTCTTCCGCCCGTGCGGGATGTCATGCGTGGGGCTTCCAGGCTCCAGGATAGGAAACGCCTTCCAGCTTCCACTTGCACTGTTCAAGGCTTCCTCGCCCGAAGGCCACAGGTCTCAGAATCCTTCTCGAGGCGCCGACGATCGTCCGCGGACGTCCGAGGCTGCGGCGCTGCTGCAGATGCTCCATCCTCCGCCGAGCGCTCGGCCTTCCGCCTGCGGCCCTGCTGCCCTCCGCTGCCTCCTCGCTGCTCCCCCCCTCGGGGTGGAGGAGGAGGAGGAGGACGAGGAGGGGGACGAGGACGAGGAGGAGGAGGAGGAGGACGAGGAGGAGGACGAAGAGGACGAGGAGGAGGACGAGGTGGGGCATCCGGGACCCCTCCGTCGAGGCGGCGCAGGAGGCTCCCGGCCCGCGGGGGCCGAGCCTCGAGGACGGCGCGACGCCGACGGCTCGCGGGGCCGCCGGCGCCTCCGGAGGTTCTCGTCGGCACGGCCGCGCGGCTCGCGAACCCCACCCCTAGAGGAGGAGGAGGAGGAGGAGGAGGAGGAGGAAGAGGAGGAGGAGGAGGAGGAGGAGGAGGAGGAGGAGGAGGAGGGTGGGGTCCGCTTCGCTCGGGAGCTCTCGAGCGAAGTGAGCCCCACCCTCCCCCGCAGAAATCGTGAGGGGTAGGGGTAGGGTTCGCATGTGGCCCCCTAAGGACGGACCCTGGGAGGGGTCCGGGGATCCGTCGTGAGCGGTGTCCGAGGAGCATGGAAGCCCATGGCGTGCCCGCGAGCGGCTGCTCCTGGCGGCCCCAGGAGGGACGGCCAGGGCGGACCCCAGGAGGGGTCTGTCAAGCAGTGGCGAAGCGTCCTGGCTCGCCTACAGCCCTACCAAGCAATGTTCCAAGAACTTTTTGCGGCTCCCACGAAATGTTTTCAGAACATTTCTGGCGGAGTCTGTCTTGTTTTAGCATATCGGGTTTATGTTCTAAGAACATGGTTTTGTTATTAGAACTGTTTGGGGTTCTAAGAACATTTCGTGATAGGACTACAGGAATGCCGGGACGGTCGGTCCCTGCTCAAGTCCGGGGACCCGTTGTGAGCGGTGTCCGAGGAGCACGAAGCCCAGGGCGCGCCTGCGAGCAGCCGCTCCTGGCCCAGGCGCCCTGGGGGACGGAGGGAGCTCCCCCGCCGCCGAGGTCAAAAGATATGAGGAGGCGGAGGAGGCGGAGGAGGAGGAGGAGGAGGAGGAGGAGGAGGAGGAGGAGGAGGGGGAGGAGGAGGAGGAGGAGGAGGAGGAGGAGGAGGAGGAGGAGGAGGAGGGGGAGGAGGAGGAGCGGGTGTCGGGCCCAGGATTCTTGGGGAGGACGGCAGGGCAGGATCGGGAAATCGGAACAAAGGGGTCTCTGTAAGAGAAAACTGACGCGCGCAGGCGGTCTCGGGTTTGCCGCCAGGCACGCGATTCTTCGATGCGCTGGTACGATGATTCTCAGTCTTATGTTAATGTAGCTCTCGCCCGAGACATCCTCGAATTACGCTACCGAAGAACCCACACATACTTATATTATGGCTGGAGTGATGATACCTGAAGTGAAGCATGTTATAATGATATTGGTGGCCATTCCCTGCGCACCCCCTATGGTGTCGAGAAAGTGCCACGCCTGTTGCGCCCTGGACGACCGGCTCGGATAGCGGCCGCGCTCAGAGACCACCACTTGCGGACCCCCTACGGTTACGAGAATATGCCACGCCTACTCCGCCAGCGTTCCCCTGTGCCCTGAGCACGACCGGCACGGACAGCAAACTTGCGTACCGATGTGCCCTGAGCACCACCGTCACGGATAGAGGCCGCGCTCAAGGACCACCCCGTGTGCACCCCCTGTGGTGTCGAGAATCTGCCATGCCTGCTATGCCCTGAACGACTGTCACGGACAGCAGCGCCCTGGACGACTGGCACGGATAGCGACCGCGCTCAAGGACCACCCCGTGCGCACCCATTATTGTGTCGGTAAAGTGCCACTCCTGCTACGCCTTGGACGATCAGCACGGACAGCGGCCGCGCTCGGGGACTACCCCAGAAAGTGCAACGCCTGCTATGCCCTGCGCCATTGCCCGCATAGACGCCGCGCTCGGGGACTTCTGCGCACCCCCTATGGTGTCGAGAAAGTACAACGCATGCTATGCCCTGCGCCATGGCCCGCACAGACGCCGCGCTCGGGGACCACCCCCTGCGCACCCCCTATGGTGTCGAGAAAGCGCCACGCCTGCTATGCCCTGCGCCATGGCCCGCATAGACGCTGCGCTCGGGGACCACCCCCTGCGCACCCCCTATGGTGTCGAGAAAGCGCCACGCCTGCTATGCCCTGCGCCATGGCCCGCATAGATGCCGCGCTCGAGACCACACCCTGCGCACCCCCTATGGTGTCGAGAAAGCGCCACGCCTGCTATGCACCGCGCCATGGCCCGCACAGACGCCGCGCTCGGGGACCACCCCTGCGCACCCCCTATGGTGTCGAGAAAGCGCCACGCCTGCTATGCCCTGCGCCATGGCTTGCATAGACGTCGCGCTCGGGGACCACCCCCTGCGCACCGCCGATGGTGTCGAGAGAGCACCACGCCTGCTATGCCCTGCG